AAAAAAATTAAAGATGGTATGCACGAAAGGAATCACCTGTTTTACTTTTACACGCACGCGCAATACACAGAAATGACGGAATCACTTGTTCTGGTTCTGGACGAAGCAGAAAGCACGCGAAGCGAAATGGTATGCTCTTCGCCCTTCGGTGGCTGCGGCTGGAATGAAATTCATTTACGTTCTCTGTTGGCTTTGGCTGAAATTGATTTAGGTTTTGCTCTTTGGTGGCTGGAAATGGGCTTTGTTGGGCCTGTTTTTTTTTTATTTTTATATTAAGCATATTACTTATGCGGGCTTGGCGGGTTGGGACGGGCTAGCCCGCTATTTGGCCCGCCGGGTTGGCGGGCTTGGCGGGTTGGCGGGCTGAAATGATGGGCCCGGCTCGCCAATTTTTGGCGGGCCCGCGGGCCACGGCCCATTTTGCCACCCCTACCTAAAACTATACACTCTCTCGTCTTATGTTGGATATAATTTGATTAATTTTCTAGCTTTGATTGAACCAATAAAATTTATGTATTTTAAGTTGTTTACTTTCGTTTAGAATTATGAGATTGAATTATTGTAGCTTTGTAATGAGACTTTAACTTACTTGTGAGATTGATGTATTTTAAGTCATTGATTATCTTACATTTTTATTATTATTTCAATAAAATTAACGTTAAATACAAGTTCAAAATTAACATTGAATTTTTATTTTTAATATTTCAATGACATTAAATATAGACTTAAAATTATTTGTAATATAATTTTTTGAATTTCTTAAAAAATTTATAAATATTCATAGATATCCATGGATATCCGTGAGTATTCAAGAAATTTATGGATACCCGCTCAATGGATACCTGCACGGATATGAGATGGGTATAGGGACAATTTTTATCTAGCGGAGCGGGGGCGGATTTACTATTACCCACCCCATGGGATCCATTGCCATCCCTAATTATGTGAAATAAACATTGTGATTTTGGTTTTTGTTTGCATATATAGTGGAAATGTTGGAATTTTATAATACGATTTATATTCTCTTAATTATATTTAAGACATAAAATAATAATTTTTTAAGTAATGACACATTCTCTAACATTTTTTATTAATACTTATTTTTAATTGTTGGTTAACAGTTACTAGTTGATTTTGTCTACTCTATAGAGTTTTACATAATAACATTTCATGCAATCTCTTGTTGGTTAAAATTTTTCATCTGTATATGCAAGACTTTTTAGTGTGTTTTGTCTTTACTTACACATTTTTTAGAAAATTTCTTAAAAGATTATTCATTCCTAAATCACTCCAAATTAAACACGCTTAACTATGAAGTTATTAATCTCCTAAAAAAAAACTATGAAGTTATTAAGCGATAAGTTACCTAAAAATGTCTTTTGTTAATATAGGTAGTGTACACAATGACAACCTTTAGAGAGGGTTGGAGTGACGACCGCCTAGGATCCCAACCTTGGAAGGACATAAAAAAAGTATTATTTAATCTATATAACATAAAAAAGTTGCACCATTAAATTATATAAAAAAAATTATTTTAAAAAATAATTTAATTACGATCAACAAATTAATTGATAGATGATTTACTGTCTTTCAACAGAAATCTACTCATAATTTTAGAAAATCGATTGATAATGTTAAATATTAAAAGGAAAACATAATATATTGATTTTCTTTTTTCTTTTCATTATGAATTTTTTGATAACATAAAAACATAAATAATTTTTTTTTCTAAATCTTTTTATTTATTTCTAATTTCTTAACTTTTCTTCTTTAAATTGTGGTCTCTTTTCCTCCATTAGAATCTCAAAATTAAATTATAAACCTCCACTTCTTAACCATCACGAACTTCATTGTAATGTATCATTGTTATCGATCATTTTTTTCACTATGTAGTTGTCTTCGAGAATAATTTTTGGTCTCACATGAAACGAATGTAACGAATACTTTTATTTTAGTCATTTTTTTTAGCAAATGTGTGTAATACTATATGTTGCTTACACATTTGAGTTTCAAAATTGGAGTCATAGATAATATTCAAATAATTTATAAGGACATCTTTTTTATTCGATCAGGACATAAAAAAAAACTCTAGGACAACTTTAATAATATTAATTAATTTTTTTAAGTCATTCTCAATTATATAATCTTATACATAATCTATTCTTTGTGTAATTAATTCAAATCATTATTAATATTTTTTAAAAAATCTATTAGAATCAAATAATTTCTACAATTAATAAAAGATTTTAGTATTGGTCTTCGTATATTTTGAAATTTTTTACTCCTCAGCCAATAGATATGATTGCCCCACTATCGTAAAATTATTTTCATTCTCTCATTTTATGATCTCTTTTTTACGGTGTAAAATAAAAAATAAAAAATAAAATAAACTTTCTAATAAGTTAAAATTTATTTATATATAAATTAATTTGTTAAAAAATTGATTAATTTTCTAGTATTTTAATTTTAAAGTTTATAGAAATTAATTTAACTTATAAAAACAATTATTCTAGTTTTTGTTTTTAGTTTTTCTCTTAAAAATGCTTTTAAAAAAGTTCATTCAGACATTTTTTTTAATAACAGAAAGGTAAAGAGCCTAGTTTACATAAAAACTATAACAATTACTTGAATATTTCTTTTGAGAGAGAGAATATTATACCTTTTAGAAAAAGAATTACAAATTAACTAATAACACTATAAAAGTCATAAATAAAATAAATAAATAAATAAATATTTGTAATTTTAAATATTCATTCTGTGACTAAAAAATATACACATAATTTTTTAGAATACTGAACCTTTAAAAAAAATTAAAGGGTTATAAATTAAGAATTAAAAATGAGTTTTATATAAAAATAAAATCCTTTGAAGAAGAAAAAAATAAAAAATAAAACCAGTTTCTGTATAAAGAAAAAGAAAAAAGAAAAGAACCGAAAAGTAGTTGAATCTAACGTGGCAAAATAATAAAATAAAGTTCTGAGAAAGTAAACCACGTAATCAACTAACGGCGTCACATGCAACGGCAGCCCTAAAATAAGTGAACTCACTGACGCAGCCCTCTAACGGCGTCAAACTAGACGGCGCCGCGCTCTTCTTCTTCCCTTTCTCTTCTCTTTTCCTCACTCTCTATGCAAAACTCTCTTTCTCTCTCTACTTTCTCTCTCTAGAAATAATTTTCATTTCAAAGGTACGCTTCCATCACATAATCCTCTCTCTCTATTTGGAACATTCATTATATCTATAATAATATATATATATGTATATACACACATAGTATTGTTTTTTAATTATTTATTTTAATTAATGCATTATTTGTTGTTAGTGGTGTTGGAATTTAGTGGTTTTGAGTTTTAACTGTGAATTCTGGTTTATATATACATATAGGGTATTAATTATTTTAATTAATGCATTATTTCTCGTCAGTGTTATGGAAATTTATTGGTTTTGAGATTTGACTGAGAAATCCGGGTTTTCCGCATTGATTTCGGATCTTTCTGACTTTTTGAGTGTGTGAGAGTTAGTGTTGAGTTGTTGTTTTCCTATATTTGGGTTGCTTGATTGGATCACATACGGAATTTATTATTATTATTATTATTATTATTATTATTATTATTATTATTATTATTATTATTAGTATTTGGTTCTATTTGGTTCGTGCTGTTTTGTGTTCTTTGGAGAATTTTCTTTTGGTGATTTGAGGTTGGTGACACCAATAAGTAAGGTGGGAGTGGAATGTTTGTGTTTTATGAAGTGTGTTGTTACATAGACACTGTTATGGCTATGCTGAATGAGCTCTTTGTATGGTGAGACGGTGTTCATTCCACTGCTAATGTTCTGTTTGATTTTGATTGCTTTTGTAGCTGCTTTATTAGTTAGGATCAGTTTGGCTTAAAATTTGGATGAACGTTCTAGGATGAGTTTTCTTTTACAGATTTTGATCATAAAGTTTGCCAGAGTTTTTTGCTGGGTCAGATTGGCTTAAAATTTTGATGGATGTTTTGGTATGAGTTTCTCGTTACAGATTTTGATCATAAAGTGTGTCAGGGTTTTTGCCAGGTCAGTTTGGCTCAAAATTTGGATGAATCTTTTGGGATGAGTTTCTTTTTACAGATTTTGATCATAAAGTTTGCCGGAGCTTTTTCCACATCATTTTGGCTTAAAATTTGGTTGAATGTTTTGTGATGAGTTTTTCTTTCTCTTTTTTCTTAACAGATTTTGATCATAAAGTTTGCAGTTTTCACTGTTATATGGGGATTTTGGATCATTAGATGATAATGTTTGCCAGAGTTTTCACCATTATATATGAGGCTTTTGGATCATTATCACTGTGGTTGCTTGTCCTCACTTTTTGTTCATATCCTTTGTTAATGAGTTCCATTTAAAAAAAAAAAAAAATTATGTTCTGTTCAGTTTTTGTAGGTTAAGGTTTTTTCTGTTGTTGTTGTATCTTCTAATCTGTTTTTATTTTCGGTGCCTTATTTCAATTTGGAAGTATGTTTAACTTAAGCTAGAATACTGGTAGTTAGTTGGTTGACTAATGATTGTTATTGCCTTTTATTCTGATTATGCATTTGACTGTCACGTTATGGATCATTGCAATTGATGGTATAGTTTTCCTTCACTGTTGCAGGGATAGAGCTGTGTTTACTGGGGTAGTGAGGTTGCTATTGGCAGTTTTGTTGATGTAAGAAGCTGAATACTGTTCTCTATTTCAGAATGGGTGCTGTTTGTTGTGTTGCAACCAAAGATAAAACTATACAAAGCGCATCACCCAGTGAAATCTTGCATCGGAATATTCGATATTCTCCGACATGGAACTTCCGGTGGGATCATCGAGGGCGTGTAGCTGGTGAAGATACAACTATAAATTGGTTTTCTAATGGTATTAGTGGGAATGATGGATTGGAGAATAGAAATGAATCCTCAAATGTATCTGAGGATGGAAGCCCGTTGCAGAATTATCAAAGAAATAGATGGCAAAAATCCCCAATCTCTGAAGGAACTGCTAGAAACATGTTAAATTCATCTTCGGGTAACTTCAATCAAATCAACTCTCTGGTTTTGATCATATTCATAATTCATATACTTACTTGAGTTGGACTTTTTAAAATTGGAGTTTTATTAGTCATTTCATCCTCACAATTTATTATTTGCTGAGCTAAATCGGAAACCTATTAAACAAAATGTAACATTAATCAAGCAAATCACAAGTCTATGTGGATGATATAAAATTAGTCATTGGTGTACAAGTTGGAAACATGGTGATGTATTCTCACTTATGTTTCTTTCCCATAAGCTATCAGACAATAAAATATTGAAAATTAGAAGTAAATATGGTTAAAATGTTAGTTCCATTAGCAGAACAGGTTTAGCTTTTTATATCACTATCACATAAGCAAAATTTAGAGGAATTAGATTAACTGATTAACCATTTTTTACATGAAAGGACAATAAAATAAAAGAAAAATGAGCAGGTAGGAATAGGAAACGTAGCATAAATTATTGTTTGTCATACTACAGTAACTATGCACAAAGAAAAATGGAAAATGAAGATGGTGAATAAGTGAGTTGAAAAGCATCATTCTGTCTACCTCGAAATGTAGGAATTAGGAAATATATTTTTGGGTCAGGCATAGGGTGTTGGTGTGTCAGATTCTTTGTTAGTACTTAGTAGAAGAAACACATACTGAAACTTTCACGATAACAATTTAGATTCAGCTAGTGTGATTAAGATACCAGTTATTGAGAGTCTGTTATATGTTAAATCCTCTTCTTTTTTCAGAGACAGGTGTTGTAGGTTCATGCATTGTGATTGAGTTATCATATTTTCTTAGACAGGATTAATTACATGTTAGATAATCTTTCTTATTGGCGAAAAGGATGCACTGAATACTTGCATTAGTTGCATATGACCAAGGAAGAAAGTATAGACTTCTGTATTCATTCAAATAGATTATTTGGTTTTGTTTGATTGGCTGTTGATTTTTGATAATCTGATGTATGTGTTAGTGTGAATTTTGCACAAATGGACAGGTTAATAAATTTTTATCCAGTTCATCTCAGACTAGAACATGGTTAACAAAATCGAACAGAAAATTTTGTAAGCCACAATCATGAAAAATTCCCTCATAAAACCACAGCCTTGGACTAGTATCCACACCTAAGAAGTGCCTTTTTTGAAGTTAAAAGAAAAAAAAGTTCATGGACTCGTGTCTTCACGAGGCTAGGCTATGAATCTGTTTGGATATAATCTTAGAAGCGTTTTTAAGAGTTTCTCTACTGGAAAATACTTTTTATTTCCAGTAGAGAGAATCTCAAAAACACTTTTAGCTTGTATCCAAACAGACTCTATGACTATATACCGATAAGATGGCTTTATTTGGCTTGCTCATGCTCTACCCGTTTTTGATCAATCCATTAGTAAATTATTATTTGCTCAACTGATTGATTTATGGATCTAACATGTTTGTTTGTGTTTATCGCAGATCAAACTATTTCAAGGAATGTCTCCACACATGTGAGCTTGGAACAGGTGAGGTTGCAATAATAGAGGAATCTGCTGTTATTTTTTATTTTGTTAGTAGTTGATATGTTGTTTCTTTGACACATTTTCTACTTGTGAATCACTCTGTAGGTGAATGAGTTGGCAGAATCATCAATGGCATTGTGTCCGTATCCCACAAAACTTCCACATTCATTGCCTTCTACTTCTTTTTCAGTATCTCCTCTGCCATCCCAAAGTCACCCACTTCCATCCAGCTCAACACCATCAAGGTGGCCCTGCCATTCCACCAGTCATCAACTATCACGGCAAGTTTCTGACAGCCGAATCTTGGGATTTAAGACACCTAGTAACTTTTATGTATCTGAAGAGAGGCCAGTGTTTCCCTCATGGAGCAATGAATCTAGTATGCACTCCTACGGTGGATCTTCAGATAATTGGTCTAGGCCTGGCTTTTCTGAGCTCACAGGAACTTCCCTCAAAGAAAGATGGTCATTTGACAGTGAATCATTTGGTTTTAATTGTGAAAGGCTGGTTAGATCCAGTAGTCCCTTTTCAAATTCTCCAGTTGATTTGCAAACATGTGGTGTTTGTTCAAAACTTTTAACTGAGAAGTCTTCTTGGGGCTCCCAAAAGATGGTTGCAAGTAATGACCTTTCTGTAGTTTCTGTCCTTATTTGTGGACACGTTTATCATGCTGAATGCTTGGAGAGTTTGACACCTGAAATCAACAAGTATGATCCACCTTGCCCGGTCTGCTATTTTGGGGAGAAATATACTTTTAGGTTGTCTGAAAAAGCTCTAAAGGCTGAAATGGATTTGAAGGCTAGAACTAAGAAATCAAGAAACCGAATTGTGGACAGTGATATTGAAGATGATTCTGTTGTGTATGGACATGTTAGAGATAAAGGACGTCAAGGTAAAGGTCCCAGAGTTGATTCTAGTTCCAGTGGGAGAAACTCTAATGGGAAACCATTTTTGCGGAGACACTTCTCATTTGGCTCAAGGAGTTCCAAATGCATGCTAGATAATCAGCCATCCCGGAAGAGGGGCTTCTTTTGGGCAAAATCTAGCAAGGAATAAGCTTCGTTGTGGTTGCTGAGAGGCAAGTCCCATTATCTTCATTGTTTTGCTCTCTCCAATTTATCAATAGCATTCATCTGTGTTATTCCATGCATCATGATAGAAGAGAATTTTCTACTTTTACCTGTTGTAGTTGGCAGGTTATTTCCAATGTTTTCAAATCCAGATCAGACCAACCAGTTTGACCAGGTTCTCTGGCTGGTCTGATCATCACGGTGAACTGTTTTAATCATCTGAATTGAATACATGGTTGAACTGCTTCACCTTTTCTCCCTCATTAAAGCTTTTAAATAGAGTGAATTATTTTGGTTTCTGATTTAATATATTTAAAACTCAGACTTTCTCCTATTAATTTTTCTAATGTGGGAAAAACAGGAGTATGCGAGGCAAGAATGGTTTGGCTGCATTCCAATTTATATCTAGAAGCTATACCCTTTAACTCTTTGTATACAATGCGTGATTTGCATAGGATGAGAAACATTACCTCCTTCTTTCTATTCATTTGATGTGGGACTAGCATAGGTTAGAGAAAGATGCCATGAGAGTATATTTAGTTTCATACTTTTTGTATATGCTAAATCAGTTTAATTATGTTAGAAACAATTTTCAATATTCTTTTTCTGTGATTTTATATATTTATCGATTTTATTTATATGTATATTACATTTTTTTACACTTGCACACATAAAAACCACGGAACATATGGGCCAATTTGGTGCAGGATTATTCTGGTTTAACTAATAATCTTGAGTTCACATCCTATGTGTGCTATTATGTTAAATATTTAGAGGGATAGTTTTGTCGTCCAAAGTAGTGTTACTTGACTTGAACATTGTTTCCTCCAATGAAGAATGAATATATATATATATATATATAACACTGGTTCTTTTTGGTTATATTACTGATTCGGTTTTGAAACATTGCTTGGTATACATCCAGATTTCTTTGGGTTTAGGTTTCTTGGTACAGTGCAACAGAATTGAACTTCCGAGTTCAAATGTTTGAAAAGTTGAACTTATGGCATGCCTGCAGCAGTCTTTTTGGACTTAGTTTTGGTTTGTTTTGCCTTCTTTAAAGCAGGTTCTGTGGTTGAACTTCTCCACAACCTCGGATAAAATGACTGAGGAAAGGGCAAGATGTCATTCATCAAGCTTTGATTTATGTCTGCAATACACTAATACATGATTTCTAAATGTTTAGAAGCTGCAATTACCCTGTAAAGAAGAAAACTGAAAAGATACAGAAGATAAATATAGGAAAACAAAGATAGTGTTTAGAAACCAAGGGTTTTGTTATTTTGTACAGATTGATTAGTATTATTGCTTATGGATATAATTCATTCATATATCCAAAAAAGAAAGTTCTGTTGTTCCCTGTTCTACTGATATGTAATGCATACAGTATACGTGCCATGAGCCCTTGGGACTTTGGAATTTCTGGTGTTGGGCAATGGTCTTAACAGATTGTTAATACCAATTAGTTTGTTTGACAAATTAATTGTTTAGTAATGATATTTGAACATGTCAATACTCTAAAATATTGATATGTATCATTTTCTGTGTCTTATCATATTATATCATCTATTGATACCTAAACCCAATATCTATTATATTATCTCATCACCCTTTCTCTTTTTACTTGATCTGGATTGTCTATAGTGTGCAATTGCAAATCTAACCATTAAAATTAATCAAATTTAATTTTAAATATTAGTTACGCATAAAATAAACTGAATTGACAAGATTCATTCAGTTTTTTGGAAACTGTAAAGGATCAAAGATCCCTGTTTATTTCTCAACTATTTTGGATGGTCCTACTATCAATGCCTTCGTTAAAATGATTTGTTTTTGCCCTTCTGATTCTACAAACACGGGTTGCACGCACCCGATTTTATGTTGGTTGTTGACTACACGTTGAATAACATAACCAGAAGTCTTCAAAGTCGAAAATTACACGGACCTTGATGTTGCTCGTGACAATAAAGACTTGCGTGCACGTTTCAATTAGTGTTTTGTTTCTAATCTTCATTATCTTCTGTTAATTTGCACTCGTGAATCATGACTTGATGACTTAAAGAAAGCATTTATTAACAAATCCTACCTACTAATTATTGGGCGACAGAAAAGATATACGTTGACTCACACGAAGGGTAAACATTATTTCTATAGAATTTTTAAGTCTTGCTTTATAGCACTTGTTAACAGCCATTTATTAAATTGTCCTAATTACACGGTTTTTTTCATTTTTGGTATATAAAAAGTTTAGATGAATTGGATCTCAAAAGTTCATTAGAGTTATGATTGTTTATAGTGGTACATACATATTATCAATAATAAAATTTTCACATCAGCAGAAACTGAACTCACATTGTTTTATAATATGAATTTGTTCTTTATTAATTGAATCAATTTTTGTTGTTAGAATACTTTTTAATAAGGATGACATCAGAATTATATTTTATTTTTAATTATTTTGAGACTAAGAGTGAATTTTATTTTAGTCCTATAAATGAGTGTTTATCGACAAGGTTACACTCTTATTCTACAATTTTGGGTATATACATAGACGATAATGAAGGTTAGATTTAAAATTTGATAGGGGGCTTAGGCTCTTACAAGAAGAAATAGTGGAGAATTCTCAGCATTGAGTGAAAGCGTGATGAAGTTGTGTCTAGGGGTGGGCAAAAAAAATTGAACTGAACTGAACTGGTGGTGAACTGAACTGAACTGTACTATAAAAAACTGAACTGTTTGTAAAAAAATTGAACTGAACTGTTTAAAAAAAACTGAACTGAACTGTTAGAAAGTTAACTGTACTAAACTATAAAACTGAACTGAATTATAAAAATTGAACTATTTTTATAAAAGGATAAAAATTAAATGTGTCTAACATATTATGTGTAACGACCCGCCATGACCGTCACACTATGAACAACACTACACACTACTAAAATATATATACTAAAATAGTATAATAAAATATTTACAACACAAGTTGCTAATCAAGCAACCAACGACAACCAATTATATACAACAAAATATGTTACTATAAGAGCCTACAAAAAAATTCCATCTCCAGGCACCTCTTGTGGCCTCTAGCAATTGTAGACCCCTAAAATTGTCCGGGTCGAAAATAAGACTCGAAGACTCTCGAAGACCAAAGGAAAGTCAGCCGGAAGGACTCTTGGAAGACCCTAGGATGATTATCTGTAGGTTTAGAGGTCTTAGAGTAGCTTAAAATAAGGATGTGGGAGAATTGAAGCTCAATACGGCCTCCTGGAAGTTCAGTACGGCCGTACTGAACAATTTGAACTACAATACGGCCGTACTGAACCCAATACGGCCATACTGAAGTTTTTGAACTTCAGTACGGCCGTACTGAAACCAATACGGCCGTACTGAAGTTTTTGAAACTTCAGTACGGCCGTACTGAATTCAATACGGTCGTACTGTAGTTCAAATCTTCAGTACGGGCTGTATTAATGTCAGAGGCCGTACTGCGCCTCACTCCTATATATAGGACGTCATTTGGACGTCATTCCACAC